TGTCCAATCCAGATTCTGATCCATTGAGCAAAGGCCTCGAAGGACAGCGGGACATTAAACGAGTATTATACTATTCGACGCTAAGTTAATACAAGCACTCGCACTTTAAAAACATACCCGTGCTGAGGCCCAGCTAGCATTAGCACCAGAGCTAGCTGAAAGAGGCCCAGGCTCATAATTCTGCCCTGCTAAGACAGAAAAATCCTAGCCTTTACGTGTGCCTACCACTGCAGTTTTGTTCCTTACATACAAAACACACACCTTGATCACTTTTCAGTGAAGTGTTTGCACTTCCTGGAACAATGACATCACTTCCTTGTTTTCAGAGGCTTTGGAGTTAATGTGTGTGCAATGACTGGCCTGTTTGATCCTACCACCTCATGTTGTTGTTCTCATCACTGATTCACCACCCTCTAAATATAGCTGTGCTCTGTGTATTGTGGATGATATTGTAGCTGGCTGATGCGTTTTTCAAAGCCAGTGAGTGTCCACGCTAACCTGATGGTGTTTTCTGTCGTGTGCAGGAGCAGCAGAGCAGGAGCAGAGAGGCTGGGACAGCGCACACACTCTGCAGGTGAGCTGCTGTTCAGTGGAGTGACTGTTTCATAGTGTCACAGGCAAGTCTGTCCTATTGTCTCACCTGCATACACTGAACCTGTCAACGTTTTGCGAAGCAGCTGGCTAGATGTGGTGTGATCATTGCAGGCTCTTGCAGGAGTGAAGTACTGAGACTTTCTGGAGAGTAAGCTAAGGCTCCACCCCCTTAAAACCCTGTTATTTGACAGAGCGGACAAGGGAGCACGGAGACCGAGCAGCTAAGACAAATACACCAGCTCAGTGCCACACTCAGGTCCCACAAGCCCACCTCCTCTCTCCTTCCTGCAGTGCATATGAACATTAGTTTTGCCCTCTGTGGTTTTGGGGTTAGATCAGAGCGGGCCAGGCCGCGGTCTCCTTTGACACCATATAAATCCTTCTCTAATGACTCCTGATGACGCACTGTTTGGTATCATAGAGCTGCAGGTTACAGTGGGAGGCATGGGAACCTTGAGACCTTGCCCTGGGGTGTAATGTCAGAGTCAGGGAGGGACGGAAGAGGGAGGTACAGTACACAGAGCGGTATAGGAGAGCCTGCTTTATTCGCTTTCATGTAAAACTTTGCTACCTTGTTGAGAAGATGAGCAGGTCGAGTTTGGAGTCTTAGAGAAACTGCTGGATTTCCATGTGTTTGATTCAGATGTTTGGCACTTTTATTTATTTTCCATAAAAGTGATCATAGGACTTTGAAATCACTTATTGAATCATGTTTGTGCAACTTTCTAAAGGATCCTGGGTTCCACTGTGTCCACATTTGAGTTAGTTTTTGTTTGGGATCAGGTAGCAGGTTTGCTAGCCTCTGTTAACAGATCTGTTAATGCAGTTAGGCCAGAGCTGATACAGTCTCACATCTTACACGTACAGCTCGGTGACAAATTAAAGGAAAATCCTGACCCTCTCAACCCTGTAGTGAAGTGACCATCTTTATCACCTTTATTCCACGAGGAAGCTTTTCTGTGCTGATGGGAGTGCTCTCTGCATCCAGAGGACATGAACTTCATCACTGTCTCGGGTTGATCTTGAAGCAATTCCTGCAACAAGTCTTTCTGTCTTCCTCGTATCGTCCCCAGCTGTCGCAGCTTATGGCCGCCCCCTCCCTGAGTCTGGTTTTCCTGGAGGTTTCTTCTGATAAAAGGGAGTTTTTCCTTCCCACTATCACCAAAGCACTTGCTCATAGTGGGTTGTCTGATTGTTGGGGTTTCTCTGTATTATTGTAGGGTCTATACCTAACAGTATAAAGCACCTGGAGGTGGCTGCTGTTGTGATTTGGCGTTATATAAATAAAACTGAATTCAATTGAAAATTGAACCCTGTGTTCTCTTTGTGTGCTCTCTGATGCAGTCTGTAGGAACTCACTCATTTTCGGGTATTCTTTGTTGCCCCCGTGTGGTTTCAGTAGGTATAAAAAGTTCCAGATGTGACCGTCTCTCACTCTGTCAGAGCTGGGTGGTGTTCGGCTGTTACCGTGGTTACCGCTGTGTTTGTGTGCTGCTGATTGGTCACAGGTGGTGCTGATTTCTTGCACTTACTGACTATAAGTTAGCTCTGTGTTGTTGAGAGAGTTCTTTAATTTATTAAAAATGACTTTCATCATGTTATCAGCAACACATGCACACACACATGCATATGCACACACATGCACACACACGTGTTGTTTTTCAACCAACTTATTCATTATACTGCACATTTTTTTCCCCAAGGTGTACCCAAAGCATTGTGGGAACTGTAGTGTGAAAAAGCAAATACTGAAAATATGAGGCGTGCCAGAAATAAATTTGATTTCTTTATTTTTGTAACTTCAGCACGAGAACTGTGTGCTGGTGCAGTGTTGACCGAGCGCTCTGATGTCAAGCCTGTTTGTGTGCTCTGTGTGTACATATGTGGGTGTGTGTCACAGGTCTGCATGTGGGTTAACTGTGATTGAAAATGTCCAGTACGTGTGAACGGTTGTGTGTCTCTTTGTGTTAGCCTTGCAACATATTGGGGGCCTGTCCCTGGTGTACTCCTCTCATCCGTTTACAGTGGCATTGACTGCAGGTGTCTGTTTTCCATGTTTACGTCACCCTGATGTGGCAGTGATTGTGCATGTGGGTGCAGCAGCACATATGACATTATCACTCAGCACAGTCACTCAGCACAGGGCATACTCACTATTTATCCACTTCTGCTGCTCTTATTTGGCTCTTTTGATGGAGGGAGTGGACAGAGAGAGAGGGAAGAAGGCAGTGAGGGAAAAAGGAAGCGGGTGGATAGGAGGGATGGAGAGGGGGCTGGTGTTATAAACAGATGTGTGCAGGAAGTCTCCTCGTCAGAGCTCGCAGGCTGTAGAGGATTACTCTGAGTAGGAGCACACTGATCTGCGTTAGCTGTTCTTTCACTGTTTGTTTAAGTGGATTTGGTTTGGATTCCCTCTTCTCATGTCGCTAATTGGATATACTAACTGTTTTCTTCTTTTGTGAAGTTTTCTCGTTTCACCTCAAGTAAATCAGCTGCCTGTAACTGCACAAAGTTCCAGTTGGACCTTTTTCCTTCGTACTCCTCCCTCGGCTGTTTCCATCATTGCTGCTGTGACAGATTTGCAGTCGGGACAGACAGTGGAGAGCGGGGCGATAGCTGAGCTTTTGCCTGCAGTATGTTTCGCTGTCAGCATGTGTGTGAGACCTGGATTGTTAGCAGCTGAGGGTGAAACTGGCAGCATGTATGAGAGGCACAGGCGAAGGTACAGCTTCTGTGCCAAAGGAGAGCCCACTGTGGATGTGCTGTTGATTAAGGTAGGGAAAAAAGCTGGTGATTTGATGGCTGAGAGTCCTGCAGTCACTCATGGTCTTCATATATGTACTTTAGATACAGTGCTGTGCAGAAGTCTTGAGCCACGCCTCATTTCTTTATATTTTGTTAGGAAATCTGTGCGGTGATTTATAAACATGAGCGAACGTCCATGTAAATATATGCATGTTCCGGGGTCCGGGGGAGGCCAGCCCATAACTGATGGTGTTCCACTTTGTGTTTTTCTTTCCAGGAATGCTTTTACTATATTTGCAGTGTGTTTGGGTTCATTGTTGTATTTACATAAAATGAAGCTGCTGCCAGTCAGATTCTTTACAAATGTTTTTACACGGTGGATCAAAATCTGTTGGTACTTTTCTGCATTCATAATTCCATCGATTTTGACAAGATGTTGAACACCACTGGCTGAAAAGCAGCCCAAACCATGACAGAGCCTCCACCATGTTTTACTGCAGACACTCAGTGTTGGACCCTCTGTCCTGCCCTCCTCTGTAGATACACTCAGGGAAATAATTCTGTAATCTCCTGCTGAATTTGTAAGTTTGCTCACTCCCCTTTTTTTTT